TGCCAGTCCTGGGGCCTGAACTCTGGGCCTGGGCCCTGTCCCTTCAGCCCTTCAGCTCAACGCTAGCACTCTACCATTGAGCCACAGTGCCACGTCCTGGCCTTTTCTGTTTATGTGGTGCTGAGGAATCGAACCCAGGGCCTCATGCATGCAAGGCAAGCGCTCTACCACTGAGCCACCTTCCCAGCCCCCTCTCTCAAGTTTTGAGAGTTCATAAGAGTGGAAAATTCACTGACAACCTCTTATGTAAATTGTTTGTTTGTTTGTTTTTGGTTGGTTGTGGGGGGCTTGAACTCTGGGCCTGGGTGCTGTCCCTCAGCTCTTCAGCTTAAGGCTAGTGCTCTACCACTTGAGCTACGGTGCCACTTCTGGTTTTCCTGAGATAGGAATCTCATGGACTTTCCTGCCTGGGCTGCTTTGAACTATGACCCTCAGATCTCAGCCTCCTGAGTAGCTAGGATGACAGGCATGAGCTACCAGTGCCCGGAATGTAAATTTTTGTATATAAACTCTTCGATATTATTGTTACACATTACAAGTGTCTAATAAATATATTTTCACCTGTTTTATTTATTTAAAACTTTCTTTATTGAGATTAAGTGATTACAGAAATTTCACAGTATTGTGGGATAGTGCTACTTAACTAAAGTCACAAACACATTTTAAGCTTCACAAAGCAAATTGTCATTATCATGTTTTATAAAAGCTTATGAACGGTACAAGCTTGGACAGTGCAACTATTTCTTCCAAATCGGTGATACGTACCTTTTTATCTGTTTTATTATCATGCCCATTTCAAAGAAGACAAATGAGCTGAGTTCCTGGTGGTTCACACCTGTAATCCTAGCTACGTAGAAGTGGCTGAGATCTGAGGATCACAGTTTGAAGTCAGCAGACAAATCTGAGAGACTCTTATTGCTAAATTAACTAGCAAAAAAATAAAGAGCCGGGAAGTGGAGATGTGGCTCAAGTGGTAGAGCTCTAGCCATAAGTAGACAAAGCTAAGCAAGAGCATGAAGGCCTTGAATCCAAGTCCCAATACTCCCCCAGCCCCCCCACACAAAAGAAGAGACATGAAAGAAATAAAGGAGTGTTAGTTTTTGCTATAAAGATAAAGAAATACAGAGCATGGTGAATTTTCCCAGGACTTATAAGGGATTAGTGAGTCTATGGCAGATATATCAATGTCTTGGACCATTTATAGTAACTCTTTCTCTCCCTCTTCCTCCTCCTCCTCCTCCTCCTCCTCCTCCTCCTCCTCCTCCTCCTTCTATCTCTACCTCCTCTGTATCCTCCTCCTCTATCTCCTCCTCCCTCCCTCCCTCCCTCCCTCCTTCCCTCTCTTCCTCCCTCCCTCCCTCCCTCCCTCCTCCCTCCCTCCCTTCCTTCCTTCCTTCCTTCCTTCCTTCCTTCCTTCCTTCTTCCCTCCCTCCTTCCTTCTTTCTCTCTTTTTCTTTCTTTCTCTTCCTCCTCCTCCTCCTCCTCCTCTTCCTCCTCCCTCTCCTCTCCCTCCTACTTCTTGCCAGTACTGGGATTTGAATTGAGGGTCTCACAATTGCTTGGTTTGTTTGCTTGGCTGGTGCCCTACCCCTTGAGTCACACCACCAGTCCAGTTTATGTTGTCTTCTTGGGTAGGCTATGCTACAGATGAGGACTGACTGTTTATATAAATTACAAATAAAAAGCAGCAGACAATCTCAGGCCTGAAGTCATACTGCCCATAAGCGGATGCAGCCGCCTCATTTCTAGCACTCATGAGAAGCTGATGTTCAGGTCCCTGATTTTAAGATAGAGAAAAAGACTCCAGAAGTTAAGAAAGTCCAGAGGGAGAGCAAAATCAGAAGGCAGATCCTGCTTCTTGTGCCACTGGGTGATGCCCTTTGCATCCTTATAGTAAGATTATAAGAAATATAGCAAAAAAAATAGCTTAACTTCCAAATGTGTCTACTTTTTCTTTGTGTGTGTGTGTGTGTGTGTGTGTGTGTGTGTGTGTGTGTGTGTGTGTGCATGTGCAACGTATGTATGCATGCACCAGTACTGGGTCTTGAAGTCAGAGCCTCCATGCCCTTGTTTGGCTTTTCTGCTCAAGGCTGGTGCTCTACCACTTGAACACACCTCAACTTCCAGCTTTTTCTCTTTGCTCATGGGGCTTGAACTCTGGGCCTGAGCGCTGTCCCTGAGCTCTTCACCTTGAGGCCAGCACTCTACCACAGCGCCACCTCCAGTTTCCTGGTGGTTAATTGGAGATAAGAGTCTCACGGAACTTTCCTGCCCGGGCTGGCTTTGAACTGCGATCCTCAGATCTCAGCTTTCTGAGTAGCCAGGATTACAGGTGTGAGCCAGTGGTGCCTGGCTCAATCTGCTGCATGTTTGGGGTTCTCCTTTCTGATCATTCATTTAGGTCACTGTAGTAAGGTGCAGAAGAAAGAAGTGTTTTTTTCCCTCCCCCCCCACAGTGAAACTTTAGAACGGTTAGGCCAGTGAGTCATGCAGCAGAGAGAGAGAGAGAGAGAGAGAGAGAGAGAGAGGAGAGAGAGAGAGAGAGAGGGTGACCCAGAGAATGAGAGGCCTTTGGGAGTCAGTCCATGTGAGTTCAGTGTCTGGTCCTTGGTAGCCATGTTAATTTAGGCAAAGTAATGAACTCTTTGTGAACTTAGCTCCTTAGGAGTTAAGTATGCTTCATTGATACGATTGCTATGAAGATGCCAGGAGATAATTTAAATCATGTAGCAACACGCATGGGCCTTTTTTGTTTACTGTGAATTGGGAAGATTGTATTTGCATAAACAGAACTTCAAATACACCACAGGGACAAGCATGGTGGCTCACACCTGTAGTCCCAAACTACTTGGGAGGCTGAGGTAGGAAGATCAAAAGTGCAAGACCTTCCTCGTCTGACAAACAAATTAAAGGAAAAGGGTGAGAGGCAAGAAATAGTCTTTCAAGTGGTAGAATATTTCCTTTGCAAAGCACCGGGCTCTGAGTTCAAATCCCAGAACCATTAAAAAAAATAACAAGGCAGGCTTTATGTTTGATGAGTGAAGCGTTCTCAGAGCCCTGGCACTAGATCCATAGCTATGGATGCCATCTCTTAGCTGCTTTGCTTGCTCTAGCTACCTGCTAAGAGTGTAGTAAATGCTGTTATTTAATCCAACGGCCTCAGAAGAAGGCATTCTGTCTTGCTGACAAGAAGATGATGATGTTCAGAGAATGTGTGTGTGTGTGTGTGTGTGTGTGTGTGACGGTCCTAGGGCTTGAACTCAGGGCCTGGATGCTGAACTGGGTCTTTAGATCTCAACCTCCTGAGTAACTAGGAAGCATGAGCCATTGGCAATCCAGTTTCTCATTTTATTTTTATTAATATCTTTTTTGTTGTTGTGGCTGTTTGTTGTTGAAGCTTGAACTCAGGGCTTGGGTACTGTCCTGGAGCTCTTTTGCTCAAGGTTAGCGCTCTACCACTTTGAGTCACAGCACCACTTCCGGTTTTTTTGGTGGATCATTGGAGCTAAGTCTCTCCGACTTCCCTGCCCCAGATGGCTTTGAACGCTGATCCTCAGATCTCAGCCTCCTGAGCAGCTGGGATGACAGGTGTACAAAGGGGGTTTCAATTCAAGATGTCAGTTTATGAGTACAATGTATCTTGATCCCTGTCCCCCCCCTTCCGTCATTCTCTCCATGGTAACCATTTTGTCAAACTGTGAGTTAGTTTTTTTTTTTTATTGTTGTTGTTGGTTGTGGGGCTTGAACTCTGGGGCCTGGGTGCTGTCCCTCAGCTCTTCAGCTCAAGGCGAGTGCTCTACACTTGAGCCACAGCGCCACTTCCGGTTTTCTAGGGGTTTATTGGAGATAAGAGTCTCACGGACTTTCCTGCCTGGGCTGGCTTTGAACCATCATATTCAGATCTCAGCCTCCTGAGTAGCTAGTGTGAGTTAGTTGTTGGAATCCTCTCCTCCATATACCATACTTTAACCACTATGTTTGTGTCTAGATGCCTGTGACCCTGTATACATTGACATGTATATTTATACCTTAGATCTAACTCCCACCTATGAGAGAAATCATACCTTACTTTTGTCTGTCTGCGTCTGACTTACTTAAAAATATGGAATGCTTCCTGCATTTGTGTGTCATCCTTACACAGAACCATGCTAATTTTCTCCATATCATTCCAATTTTAGTATATGTGCTACCAAAAGGGAGTGCTGCATCATAAATTTATCTTTGGTTTTGTTTTGTGTTTGGGCCATTTCCTGGGGCTTGAACTCAGGGCCTGGGCACTGTCCCTGAGCTCTTTGCTCAAGGCTAGCACTCTACCACTTGAGCCACAACGCCACTTCCAATTGTAATGTTTCATGCGATACAAACCACGCTAACCAAGCAACTGGTGGTTCACACTTGTCATCTTAGCCACCGAAGAGGCTGAGATCTGAGGATCATGGTTCAAAGCCAGCCTGGGTAGGAAAGTCTGTGAGACTCTAATTTCCAGTGAACCACCAAAAAAGCCTGAATGGAGCTGTAGCTCAAGCGGTAGCAGAAGTTTTGGGGGGTCCTTCCATCTCTCACACTGGAGATCAGAAGCAGGGGATATACACAGTCTTTCTTTTGTGAGTCTGAACATGCTGTGTTTATTTACTGACTCTGACTAAGGAAGTAGAGGAAGGGTTAGGGTCTTGTTCCTCTTTGAGTCTGCCCCAGGGCCATCATGCTGTTTCTGGGGTGAGTGCCTGAACAAAGCTATGCCAGGCATTTGCTATAGCTGCCATTGCAGGCATACCGCCTTCCTCTGCTCTTCTACCAGCCGATCGTGAGTTTATCGAGTGATCGAACCCGGGGGGGAGCCCTGCCAAGGGGAGTCAGGGCTGTCGATTGCATTTGCTGCTTCGTGGTTACACGGCAGTTTTTTGAAAGAACGGTCTCAGCGTTCAGAGAAGGCGGGAACAAGCAGCGACGTGCACTGTGAGCTTTTGCTGGTTTCCTTCTGAGCAGCGGCAGCACTGCTGTTCTAGGCCCATTCCTGTACCAGCTCCATGAGATACAGTCTGCGCTGGGGCTTTGGATTCATGTCTGCTGAAGCCTCATGCAGGCTTGCATCGATCTGAAGTTAGATCAAGATCCCCGTTATCCATACAGCTGTTTGTACTAGACCCACAGTCCCAACTTCTTCTTTCTGCCTGCCTGCCCCTGCCTGCCTTCCTTCCTGCCTTCCTTCCTCTCTTTCTTTCCTTCCTTCCTTCCTTTCTTTCTTTTCCTTCCTTCCTTTCTTCTTCCTTTCCTTCCTTCCTTCCTTCCTTCTTTCCTTCCTTCCCTCCTTCCTTCCTTCCCTCCTCTCCTGCTCCTTCCTTTCTTTCTTTTCCTTTTTCTTTCTTTCTTCTTTCCTTCCCTTCCCTCCTTCCTTCCTTCCTTCCTTCCTTCCTTCCTTTCTTTCTCCTTTCTTTCTTTCTTTCTTTCTTTCTTTCTTTCTTTCTTTCTTTCTTTCTTCTTCTTTCTATTCTTTCTTTCTTTCTTTCTTTCTTCTCTTTCTTTCTTCTTCCTTTCTTCCCTTCCTTCCTTTCTTCCTTCCCTCCCTCCCCTCCCTCTCTCTTTCTTTCTTTCTTTTCCTTCCTTCCTTCCTTCCCTCCCTCCCTCCCTTCTCTCTTTCTTTCTTTCTTCCCTTCCTTCCTTCCTTCCCTCCTTCCTTCCTTCCTTTCTTTCTTTTCCTTTCTTTCTTTCTCTTCTTTCTTTCTTTCTTCCTTTCTTTCCCTTCCTTCCTTTCTTCCTTCCCTCCCTCCCTCCCTCTCTCTTTCTTTCTTTCTTTTCCTTCCTTCCTTCCTTCCCTCCCTCCCTCCCTTTCTCTCTTTCTTTCTTTCTTCCCTTCCTTCCTTCCTTCCCCTCCTTCCTTCCTTCCTTTCTTTCTTTTCCTTTCTTTCTTTCTTTCTTCTTTCTTTCTTTCTTTCTTTCTTTCTTTTCTTTCTTTCTTTCTTTCTTTCTTCCCTCCTTCCCTCCCTCCCTCCCTCCCTCTCTCTCTCTCTTTCTTTCTTTCTTTTCCTTCCTTCCTTCCTTCCTTCCCTCCCTCCCTCCCTTTTTCTCTTTCTCTCTCTCTCTTTCTTTCTCTCCCTTTCTTTCTTCCTTCCTTCCTTCCTTCCTTCCTTCCTTCCTTCCTTCCTTCCTTCCTTCCTTTCTTCCTTTCTTTCTTTCTTTCTTTCTTCCTTCCTTCCTTCCTTCCTTCCTTCCTTCCTTCCTTCCTTCCTTCCTTCCTTCCCTTCCTTCCTTTCTTTCTTTCTTTCTTTCTTCCTTTCCTTCCTTCCTTCCTTCCTTCTTCCTTCCCTCCCTCCCTCCCTTTCTCTCTCTTTTCTCTCTTTCCTTCCTTCCTTCCTTCCTTGCGTCCTTGCTTTCTTTGCTGTGCTAGTACTGGGACTTGAACTCAGGGCCTGGGGGCACAGTCCCTTAGCTTTTTCACTTAAGGCTGAGCCTCTACCACTTGAACTCCATCTCCACCTCTGGCTTTTGGCTAGCCAGAGACCTCCTTGGCCCACACATTGTGTCATAGCGCTGGTACCTGCAAAGGCTTCAGATGGAGTCGATGAGTGTAATGAGATAGAGCTCCAAGCCTTTGCTTAGACTGTAAAGGAAGGAAAATCCCAAGCACCTCTGGGCCACAAGTTCCTTTGTCGATAAGGAAGCCTTGGAAGAAGAAAGGAAAAGAGCTGAGCATGGGTGGCCCACGCCTGTCATCCTAGCTACTCAGGAGGCTGAGATCTGAGGATCGCGCTTCGAGGCCAGCCCAGTCAGGAAAGCCCAGGAGACTCTTTTCTCCAATTGATCACGGAAAAACGGTGGCTCAAATGGTAGAGCGCTAACCTTGAGCAAATGGAGATCAAGGACAGTACCCAGGTCCCAGGGTTCAAGCCCCAGGACCAGTGAAAAATAAAAATGAAAAAATAAAAGAGATAAAATAATAATAATAAAAATAAAAAAGAAGGATTAAAACCACTCAAGTCCCAAACCATCTTCACCCTTCTTCACCATGAGAAGAAATTTAAAGAGACACGGAATGAATCTAACATCTCCCCTAAGCGAGGCAAGCATCTCTAACGTACCTGAATCCTGTCTCAATTTACCTATAGCACTGAGGAAGTCAGTGACGTTGATCGGAAGATGTGCCGTCAGCAGGCAGAGCTGGGCCGTGTCTCTTCTTCCAGGGGATGTCTTAGACAAATTCTGCCGAGAGTTCTCTTCTTCCCGTGCAACTAAAATGGCTTCTTTCTTTCCTGTCCCTCCTCGCGACCCTGGTCCCTCAAAACAGGAATAGAAAAGCAGGCAAACTGCCAGCATTGGCCACTGTCCTGTCTAGAGACACCTGCGCTCTGAACCTTAGCAAGCTCACTCCAGGCCAGGCTGGAGAGGCTGGGGTGGGGGAGGTAGATAGCCTTTTCCCTGGAAAGGAAAGAGAGAGTAGGGAAAGGAAACCAAGGAAGAGTCTAGAAACCTCTTGCAAACAGAGCAGATCTATGGGAACTTACCTTGCCGTTCCAGAATGCTTTCTTTCTTTAATTTTTATTTTATCATTATTATTTTTTGTTTTGGTACCAGTTTCTGGGGCTTGAACTCAAAGCCTAGCTTTTTTTTTTTTTTTGGTCACTGAGCTTTTTTGTTGTTGTTGTTCAAGGCTAGTACTCTACTACTTGAGCCACAGCTCCACTTCTGGCTCTGTGTGTGTGTGTGTGTGTGTGTGTGTGTGTGTGTGTGTGTGTGTGTGATTGGAGATAAGAGTTTCATAGATTTTTTTCTGCCAGGGGGTGGCTTTGAACTGTGATCGTCAACTCTCAGCCTCCTGAGTAGCTAAAATTAGAAGGCATGAGCCACCAGCGCCCAGCCAGGCCAGAGGATTTTATTCTAGTCAAATCCCTACACTGCCCCAATTTACTCATCGTGAAAACTAACATCATTTATCTTCTAGAAGAAGGGTGCAAGCGACAGCTTCAGGCTCTTCTTTTTTTCTTTGTGCTTAAGCAACAGCTACTTCCAAATCACTTGAATAGAAGAGGGGGTAGAGGCTGGAGCAGGTTACCAACGGTCCAATTTGGAAATAAAAATGAACATGAGCTTGCTGTAAAGTGGAGAAGGAGGATTCAGCGTTCTTAGAAGGTGAAAGCTGTTTCCACACCAGTGTTTCTTCTGACCTATTTCTGTCCTGATCAAAGAGCTGGATTTTGGTTGTTGTTGTTTGTGTGTATTTGTGTGATAATCCTGGGGCTTGAACTCACAGCCTGGGTGCTGTCCCTGACTTTTTTTTTTTTGCTCAAGACTAGCACTCTACCACTTGACCACTTGAGCCACAACTCCAATTCTGGCTTGTGTGTGTGTGTGTGTGTGTGTGTGTGTGTGATTATTTGGAGATAAAAGTTTCACAAAATTTTTCTGCCCAGGCTGGCTTCGAACCACGATCCTCGGATGTTAGCCTCCTGAGTAGTCAGGATTACAGGCATGAGCCACCAGTGTATGCCTCTCATTTTGTAAAAGACAAAGATACAACTCTCCCTTTCACACCTATAAAACTTTACAGGATTGATTCTGTTCTTCCCCAGCTTCTAGGATTTAAAGAAGAAGAGTATTTCTGTGACCCAGGAAACTATTCATTTCAGAGCAGATGAGAAAAAACTCTAAGGTGATTTTACTCAAGCCAGCCCAGGGCCAAAGGCCTTTATGAGGCCTGGCCAAGACACGAAGAAATGGCAGGCCTGTTCATGAGTAATGGAGTTCTATGGGCAGCTAGTGCTGCAGAGACTAAAGGCAGGACTTGGATGTTTGGTTCTTAATGCTGATTTACTCTGTGTAATAAATGGTTGTGGCTGCTTTCTCCAAGGCCCAATGCTGCACTTTTCCCAGAGGAAGGGATGAGATCTTTGGCCTCTCCAGATCTTATAGGTCCAGAAATGGATAGATACATATAATGTCTCTAACTGTTATTGGCGATTTACCTACCCTGGATCAAGCCTCTTTCACAGGAGTGAAGGAAACATCTAGCACTTGCTCTCCTGGGCTTGCCCACACCTTTCCCAGGAGCCAGGTTATTGGCTTCAGTTTCATGATCATTTTGTCTTCTGTCTGTCTTTGATGGTAACCCAAACTGCCATAAATTCTTCTCTTCTTCCTCCTCCTCCCTCCTCCCTCCTCCCTCTCTCAATCCTTCCCTCTCCCCATCCATTTCTCCTCCCTCTTCCATC